ATGTGTCAAAAGTCCAGAAAATAATGTTTTTCCATGTGTATATACCAAGTAAGGGTTGGGCCCAAACGAAAATACCTTTTCCTACGCGAAATAGGACAATTGCTTTGTAAAATTTGTACAGGCGCGCCGCATGGGGTAACGCGCCACATGGGGCATTAGTGGGGAAATCCAGAGAGCTAGTTCTGACAGGTAGTATGAATTTTGTACAGGCGCGGTGCGCCACCCCCCACGCATTGCGGTTGTGTTGTTTTCTTAGAGTACGAATTTTTCTTGACTTTTTGATATCTAGATGTGGTTTTCGACCCCCGAACGTGACCCCAGCTTAATCCCTTGGGCTTTTACTAAGATTTCAAAGCTCCAAATCACTTGAATTCATTCTGTAATATCTACGTAGCTAGGAATCCTCCTACAAGGCATAAAACATACGATTAGTGCAAAACACTTGCGATTAATGCTCAATTCAATTAAAGTGCAATAAATGACTAAAATACGAGATTATAGCCTACCATTAATATTACATACTCTATATCACTGTCTCTTTTCCTATATATATGAGACATACCCTTAACACACCCCAATAGTACAAGTGCAGAGAATATCTACTAGAATATTCTCTTTAGTATCCCATTTCGAAAACTAGCCGTTACAGCTCTGCTAATGGTGCTCGGTATTATCTGTTGTTGACTCATGGAGTTCATCTGGGGGTACTGCGAATGCATGGCAACAAAATAACCCCAGATTTCAAGGACAAGGAGCTTCAGGCTTCCAAAATCAGCAAAGGCAGCAGTTTCAGCCTCAACAATCCAATCAACCCGATCTAGAAGATATGATGAAAGCCTTCATTGTCAAGACAAATGAGAGGTTAGATGCTCATGGGGCAGCAATTCAAAATCTAGAGAAGCAAGTGGGACAAATTGTAACTATATTGTCTGAGAGAATTCTTGGAACTCTCCCTGCTGATACTGAAAGAAACCCCAAAGAAATAGTGAATGACGAGACCTTGAGAAGCGGGAAAGTGTTGAAAGATCCCACTCTAGTCCAAAAAGATGTGATACCTGAAAAAGAAAGTTGGGAGCAGCTGAAAAATGAAGTTGATAAGAAGAAGAAAGGCAGGAAGGGAGCTGAGAAAAAGAAGAAGGAGGAAACTTCAAGAAGGGAGGAATCAAATGAAGAGAGCAAGCACATGCCTGCTTTATCTTTTTCCCAAAAGCTATATAGAGAAAAGCTGGACAAACAATTTGAGAAATTTCTGGATATGCTGAAACAGGTTAATGTAAATTTTCCATTCACAGAAGTGCTCTTCCAAATGCCAGCTTATGCCAAATTCTTGAAAGAGATCCTGACAAAGAAGAGGAAGATAGAAGAGACCTCAGTAGTCAAGCTCACAGAGCATTGCAGTGCAATCTTGCAAAACAGACTCCCACAAAAGTGTGTGGAGATCTAGGGAGTTTTACTATACCTTGCTCTTTAGGCACTATTAATTTTGACAAGTCTTTATGTGATTATGGTGCCTCAATTAATTTAATGCCTTTATCTATTTACAAGAAACTGGAGCAGGATATTGGAGAGATAAGGTCGGTGCCAATATCTTTGCAGCTGGCAAACCAAACGACTTTGATACCCGAAGGGATATTGGAAGATATTTTAGTTCGGGTAGATAAGTTTGTATTTCCTGTAGACTTTATAGTGGTGAATATAGAGGAGAACAAGGAGGTCCCTATCATATTAGGAAGACCATTCTTAGCAACGGATAGAGCAATCTTAGATATACATGAGAGAAGACTCATGCTTAGAGTGGGTGAAGAGACTATAACTTTTGAGATGAATGTAGAAATGGGGGTTAAAAGGAGAAGCCAGCTGCAAGTGTTGAGTGGAAAGTGAAGAGTTCGAAAGAGAAGGCTCCAATGATTGAAAAAGATAAGTTTGGGGGGGAGGGGGGGGGTGTACCCCAAGAAGGCTGAGAAGAAGTTGTCTACATGGATGTGTGCACTGGTTCGGGCGAGAGGAACGGAGCCCGACTTTGATTCAGACCCCGACTAGATACTCAGGGAAGTTTCCTTTACCTTATGCTTTTTAATTGTATGTCATGGGGACATGCCAGAACTTAAAGTGTGGGGTGGGGGATAATTGTATGTTGTATGTATATGTGTTAGTTTTGTTAGTTGTAGTCGTTAGAAAAAAATTAAAAAAATAAAAAACATAAAAATTGAAAAAATTTAAATTTTCGATTTTATTGGACGATGGATATCAGTCGACAGGTTTCTTGAGGGATTAAAATCGAAAGAAAAAGACAAAAAAGATTTTCTTTTGTTAGGTAGTATAATAATTCCCCCTTGATTTTTCTTTGTGCCGCAGTTCTTTTACAAGGGTTTTGTTTGAACCAGGTGTAGTTAGTTTTTAAATTTTGTTAGTAGTAGGAAACCTTGTGTTGTGTTTTGAATTGAAAACAATATCTCTTGACTCTAATATACCTTGAGAATAATTAGTGCTTTAGTTGTGACGCATAGGCTTAGTTTTTGACTCTAGTGTAAGTACCTTAAATTGTATGATCTTAACTTTTGCTTAACTGCTTTGACTGGAGTGTCTTGATAGTCCGATCCTGAATGAGTTATGTGCCATGTGGGTGTGAGGTTTTGAGTTATTCTGTGCATTGCATTTGATGTCTAGAACTTGTCCCGTGTGTTTGCAAAGTGAAATAGTAGTTTATTCAGTCTTGGAAGTGATATAGGCATTTCTTTGTTGAGCCAGATATATGTGTTTACCCACCAAATGTTAGGTATCTTAGTTAACCTCTTTGATCCTGTGATCCTGTTTCTTTGGCAACCACATTACAAGCCTTAACCATTTACTTGAATCAACCATCTATTTGAACCGTTTACCTCTCGTAAGCACTTGAAATTGTTATGAACTTTGTAAAAGTTGAAATGTGGGGTGGTTGGTTTGGATTTTGAGTGAAACTATTGAAATAAGATAGGAGGTGCACTATTTTGAGGAAAAGTATGAGCCACTTGAATTGAAAAAAAAGAAAGAAAAAAAAAGTGTATAATTGTGCAAAATATTCCTTAATAGTGGACTCTTGATGTAATTGTGCTTAAAGAAGTAGGGAGTTAATGTATATTGATGTGAAGGTGAAGTTTTGGTTTGACATAAGTGTGGGATTTTGAACGGTTAATTGTATATGTATTAAAGTCCTTAGGGAGGTGTAATCACTCTTATATCTAAATGTATCCTACCCATCCCACAACCTACATTACAACCAGTGAAAGTCCTACTTGATCCTTGACTGAATGAGCTCAATTAGTAGAGTAGTACACTACGGGCAAACCTATGGTGCATCTTTTATGGCATATGAATGTTATTTTTAAGAGTGAGTGAATTCTTTCTATCTTGAGTTCCTAATTTTCCTTAATTTCATTGTGTTCGGAACTATTCTCTATTGTTGTGTGAGGGCACTTGATTCATGAAGGAAAGGTAATGCTTGACCTCTATGTTGAAGTAAGTGAGCGGGTTATAAATAATGCATGGTACGTGTGAGTCAAATCTTGAGTCTAGGATGTTACACTATTGTGCTTAATCTATGTTAATTATTCTTGGTATGATGAGTTAGTAGAGTTGTTTAACACGGTTGTGTCTTTATAAAGTGTATTTTGATTGCTCGAGGACGAGCAATGGTTTAAGTGTGAGGTATTGATGGTAGGCTATAATCTCATGTTTTAGTCGCTTATTGCACTCAAATTTACTACACTTTAATTGAGTTGAGCTTTAATCGCAAGTGTTTTGCACTAATCATGTGTTTTATATCTTGTAGGAGGATTCCGAGCTATGTAGATGTTACGCAATGAATTCAAATGACTTGGAGCTTTGAAGTCTGAGTAAAATCCCAAGGGATTAAGCCGAGATCGCGTTTGGGGATCGAAAACCACATCTGAATATCAAAAAGTCAAAGAAAAAATCTGCACTCTGAGAAAACAACACAACCGCGGTGCGTGGCATGCCGCGCCTGTACAAAATCCCTGCTACCTGTCAGAACTAGCTCTCTGGATTTCCCCACTAATGCCACACATGACGCGTCGCCCTATGTGGCACGCCTGTACAAATTTTACAGAGCAATTGTCCTATTTCGTGTAGGAAAAGGTGTTTTCGTTTGGGCCCGACCCTACTTGGTATATATACATGGAAAAATGTTATTTTCTAGACTTTTGACATATCTAAGACCTAAGGAGGATAAGGAGAAGGTGGAGAAGCAAAAGCAGAAGGAGTTCATCATTCAATCCTCACTCAAGACACGAGTTTGGATCGTTTTATGTTTTCCTTTACTTTAAACATATTTGTGATGAATTACTCCATAACTATGGAGTAGTTCTCTTTAGGATTTGATGGATTTGGTGTATTGATATTTATTGGAGGATTATAACTCTAGTTTTTACGTATTGAATCATTTTGGATGTTTTAATAGTTGCATCTATATTCACATGTTCATGTAATCGAGAGAGGCATCTATATTGAGTCGACTGATGAAGTATCCCCCAACTACTTGGGATGAAATACACAATGCATATTGTGCCATGGTCCGAGCAGACGAGGACGACCTCAATGGACCAACTCATCGGCTGACCTCAGTACAAGCCTAATCCAGAAAAGATCAAAGAAATGATACCAGAAAGGACCTCGCTGCTTCACGACCCAACATGGAACAGCATCAACTATATGTTAGAGCGGCCGTTGCGCCCTCCTCCCTCCACGAAGAAGGCCCACCCAGATTAAGGACAGGGACTCACCGGAATGAAAGAGGTATGCCTCCTTTATTATCCATTCACAACTTTTGTGTGTCACCTACAGATATAGTCTATGACTTGGAGAAGCTCGGACTAAAGGTGAAGTGGCCACAAAAGATGAGGTCGGACCTGAGTACCAGAAAATCGGATGCCCTTTGCAAGTTCCATCAAGAACGAGGGCATAAAACCGAAGATTGCATCGCCCTAAGGTAGGAGGTCGTAAACATGTTACGACAGGGATACCTCAAAGAGTTGTTGAGCGACCGGGGAAGGACCAACTTTGCCAGAGGACGCGAACAACATCAAGGACCGTCGAAACCGCCCTCACCGACCCGCACCATACACATGATCATCGGTGGCAGCGAAGATGCTTCCATCAACAACGTAAAATTCACCACTACCCACAAGCTCAAATGGTCAATCACCCATGAACGATACGATGAACTCGAAGAAAGTTTCATCTTCGATAAGTCGGATGCTAACCATTTGATTTTCCATTACTATGATGCCCTTGTTATTACTTTGCGAATTTTAGATATCGATGTGAGACACATTATGCTAGATGATGGGAGAGATGCGTGCATTATCCTCCCTCGAGTACTTGCACAATTGAAACTCGAAGATAAGATAGTGTCACGTTGCATTATGCTAACTGGTTTTAACAATGCAGTTGAGCGGACATCAGGCGAAATCACGCTCCCCGTTCTGGCCGGTGGCATCACTTTGGAGACCACATTCCACATCATGGACCAATGTACAATGCTATAATAGGGCGACCATAGATACACACCATGAGGGCCATCCCATCCAGCTTATATCAGGTCATCAAATTCCCGACTCCCTGGGGATATTTAGCATACGAGAGGAACGACGCATATCCCAAGAATGCTACCGCATCACCCTAGACTGCATGGCTACTCAACAAGTGAAGGACAAAGAAAAAGAGGCATAGCAATCAACAGGGTCGAGGTCGATATGTGTTGATAGCAAAGACATCATTAGAGACCCCGATGTGGTCGAAGCTGCGAAATCAACCATAGAAGACCTCTCAATTAGACGCCAACAATCACAGCAAGAAAGCTTACATCGATTGTACTGATACTACACTCTGCACGTCTTGTGTAGATTTCGAAGTTGGTCCCAGCGGCATACCATAGACTTGCTCGGATTTCAGGTACCAGAGGAGACTTGAGGTATAACTGCATGGCGTCTGCAGTTCTGAAGTCCCCGTCTATTTTACTTTAGCTGTGTGTTTATTTCCAGACAACCTTATTTTATTCAGACCTTTATTTGTATTTATTCTAGAAGCTCGTGCACTTGTAACACCAAATTCTGGGATAGTATTTAAACACCGTTGCATTTATGGATTGTTTCACTATATTTCAATCTTTGCTTCCGCTTTTGTTTCCTTGATTATAATAATGTAAAGATTGTTTAAAAATTGGTTAATATTATTCTAACATTGGATTTCCTAGCAAGTGAAATGTTAGGCGTCATCACGGCCCGAAGGTGGGAATTTCGGGTCGTGACATTAGTCGAGGTCGACCAGGAAGCAGCAAGGTTCGTGGTCAAACTCATCTAGAATTGTGACTATCTCCTCTATAGTCTTCTTCATCAATGGGCCTCCAACTGCATTACTCAATGTTCTACGTGAGGCCAGTGTCAATCCATCCCAAAAATCCTGGAGTTGCATCCAAAGTTCAATTCCGCTATGTTGACACTTTTGAACTAATTGCTTAAACCTCTCCCAAGCTTCGAACACAGTTTCAGTATCTTTCTGGCAGAAGTTATGGATTTATCTTCTAAACTTTCCCGTCTTAGCTGAAGAGAAATATTTATAAAGAAATTTTCTGTTCATCTCCTCCCATGTTCTAATTGATCCCATTGGCAAGCTTCGAAGCCACTGCTTAGCATTATCTTTTAGTGTGAAGAGGAATGCCTTTAAGTACACTACATCTTGTGACACACCATTATATTGAAAGGTGTTCATAATCTCCTCGAAGTCCATCAGATATGTGTTTGGATCTTCGTTCATCTTCCCTCTGGAGACACTACAATTTTGAAGGGTTTGGATTACCCCTTGCTTTAACTCGAAATTGTTAGTTGCAACTGGAGGTGGTCTAATACTTGATAATCCTTGGTTGTAGACCGGTCTAGCATAATCGTTGAGTGGTCTCCCATCCCCGGGGAGGTATAATTCCGAACTGGTCTGCACCAAAGGGTTGATTCTGAGCTTTTCTCCGAGCCCTCTCCTCTTCATAGACAAGTTGTGCATTTCGAAAAGCTGCTTCCTCAACATCTCGTACAACTTTTTCTCGTTGTAGGGCTACCTCTCTTACAGCCAAATCCACATTATCATCATCTCCAGCCATAATTTCTTTGATTGAGGATTGCCCAACCTTCTCTAGATTCTCGGGGAGATTTTTTTTCTTCCTCGGCTGTCGCAGTTATTTCTCGAGTTCTGGTTCGTATGGTAGCACTTCCTTCCTAGAAGATCGAGTCATGCACCAATTTAACCTGTAGCCTGCGCAAGGTCAAGGAATACCAAACGTTAAAAGAGAAAAATAAAATAAATAGATTAATTCCTGAATTAGTACTACAAACTATTTCCAACACTATTGATTGCCAATCCCTGGCAACGATGCCAAAATTTGACGAGCGCAAAACACACACTTAAATATGCTCGCTAGACGAATATAGTATAATATAATATCGTATCCACATGGATTGAAGTTAAATAATATTATCGTAGTTTGTAGCTAGATTACTATCCAAGATAATCAACAGTTGAGAATTATGTGATTAAAAACTAAAATTACTTAAGAATCTAAAGCTAATTGACGAATGAAAATCGAAACAAAATTAAGCAAGGAAGATATCAATGGGAGAAAATAGGGATTGAGTGAATAGGTTCAAGATAAATGTCTGGGATTTAACTCTAGTAATTCACTTCTAATGTTCAAGTGAGTCTCTCGAATTCACTCAATTATTAGTTCAAACATCTAGTAGAAACCCCTCTCTCGATTAAGTCTCAACCTCACAATATGAACCAATTTAAGCTCGGTGAAGATATGCACGACTTCGTAGTGGATTGGTCTTTAGGAGAATCTCTTTCGATTATCCTCCTAACTAGGTTTAATCAACAATTCAACTGGCCTCTTTATATTACTAAGAGGAATTAATGAATTCAACCAATAAGATAATGCAAAGATATCACAAGTTATGCCTCTCTCGATTACATGAACATGAAAATATAGATGCAACTATTAAAACATCCAAAATGATTCAATACATAAAAACTAGAGTTATAATCCTCCAATAAATATCAATACACCAAACCCATCAAAACCTAAAGAGAAATACTCCATAGTTATGGAGTAATTCATCACAAATATGTTTAAAGTAAAGGAAAACATAAAACGATCCAAACTCGTGTCTTGAGTGAGGATTGAATGATGAACTCCTTCTGCTTTTGCTTCTCCACCTTCTCCTTAGCCTCCTTAGGTCTTAGATGTGTCAAAAGTCCAGAAAATAATGTTTTTCCATGTGTATATACCAAGTAAGGGTTGGGTCCAAACGAAAACACCTTTTCCTACGCGAAATAGGACAATTGCTTTGTAAAATTTATACAGGCGTGCCGCATGGGGTGACGCGCCACACGGGGCATTAGTGGGGAAATCCAGAGAGCTAGTTCTGACAGGTAGCAGGAATTTTGTACAGGCGCGGCGCTCCACCCCCCCTCCCCACGCGTCGCGGTTGTGTTGTTTTCTTAGAGTACAAATATTTCTTGACTTTTTGATATCTAGATGTGGTTTTTTTCCCCCGAACGTGATCCCGGTTTAATTCCTTGGGCTTTTACTGAGATTTCAAATCTCCAAATCACTCGAATTCATTATGTAATATCTACATAGCTCGGAATCCTCCTACAAGGCATAAAATACACGATTAGGGCAAAATACTTGCGATTAAAGCTCAACTCAATTAAAGTGCAGTAAATTTGAGTGCAATAAATGACTAAAACACGAGATTATAGCCTACAATTAATATTACATGCTCTACTTCAGTGTCTCTTTTCCTATATATATGAGACATACCCTTAACACACCTTAATAGTACAAGTGCAGAGAATATCTACAAGAATATTCTCTTTAGTATCCCATTTTGAAAACTAGCCGTAACAGCTCTGCTAGTGGTGCTCGGTCTCGTCCGTTGTTGACATCTCGACCACGAACCTCGCTGCTTCCTGGTCGACCTCGACTAATGTCACGACCCGAAATTCCCATCTTCGGGCCGTGATGACGCCTAACATTTCACTTGCTAGGCAAGCCAACGTTAGAATAATATTAACCAATTTTTAAACAATATTTACATTATTAATAATCAAGGAAACAAAAGCGGAAGCAAAGTTTGAAATATAGTGAAACAATCCATAAATGCAACAGTGTCTAAATAAGATCCCAGAATTTGGTGTCACAAGTGCACGAGCTTCTAGAATAAATACAAATAAAGGTCTGAATAAAATAAGGCTATCTGGAAATAAACACACAGCTAAAGTAAAATAGACGAGGACTTCAGAACTGCGGACGCCAGGTAGTTATACCTCAAGTCTCCTCTGGTAGCTGAAATTCGAGCAAGTCTATGGTATGCCGTTGGGACCAACTCCGAAATCTGCACAAGAAGTGCAGAGTGTAGTATCAGTACAATCGATGTAAGCTTTCTTGCTGTGATTGTTGGCGTCCAATCGAGAGGTCTTCTATGGTCGATTTCGCAGCTTCGACCACATCGGGGTCTCTAAAAATGTCTTTGCTATCAACACATATCGACCTCGACCCTGTTGATTGCTATGCCTCTTTTTCTTTATCCTTCACTTGTTGAGTGGCCGTGCAGTCTAGGGTGATGCTGTAGAATTCTTGGGATGTGCGTTATTCCCCTCGTATGCTGAATGTCCCCCAAGGAGTCAGGAATTTGGTGACCTGGTATAAGCTGGATGGGTGGCCCTCATGGTGTGTATCCATGGTCGCCCTATTATAGTGTTGTACATTGTGTCTTGGTCCATGATGTGGAATGTGGTCTCCAAAGTGACGACACCGGCCAGAACAGGGAGCGTGATTTCGCCTGATGTCCGCTCAACTGCATTGTTAAAATTAGTTAGCATGATGCAACGCAACACTATCTTATCTTCGAGTTTCAATTGTGCAAGTACTTGAGGGAGGATAATGCATGCGTCACTCCCATCATCTACCATAATGTGTCTCACATCGATATCTAAAATTCACAAAGTAATAACAAGGGCATCATAGTGAGGGAAAACCAAACCGTTAGTATCCGACTTATCGAAGATGAAACATTCTTCGAGTTCATTGTACCATTCATGGGTGATTGACCGTTTGAGCTTGTGGGTAGTGGTGAATTTTACGTTGTTGATGGAAGCATCTTCGCTGCCACCGATGATCATGTGGATGGTGCGGGTCGGTGAGGGCAGTTTCGGCGGTCCTTGATGCTGTTCGCGTCCTCTAGCAAAGTTGGTCCTTCCCCGGTCGCTCAACAACTCTTTGAGGTGTCCCTGTCATAACATGTTTACGACCTCCTGCTTTAGGGCGATGCAATCTTCGGTTTTGTGCCCTCGTTCTTGATGGAACTTGCAAAGGGCATCCGATTTTCTGGTACTCAGGTCTGACCTCATCTTTTGTGGACACTTCACCTTTAGTCCGAGCTTCTCCAAGGAATAGACTATATCTGAAGGTGACACACAAAAGTTGTGAATTGAT